TGTACGACTTGACAGCACAATAGCTCCTTATTCTCTTTCCGTCTCTCTCGGATGCTTCCTTTTATTTCCTTGTATCAGTACCGCAATAAGTCTCGTACGCACTTGAAAGTTCGTTCTCACGTAATCTACTTCTAAATTATACATATACCTATTGGCTACGACATGTCAATATAAATAAAGACAATTCGAATAAAGAAAAGAAAATCCGTGATGATGATTTTCGGCACTTGCTGCTAATAAAGTTTGAAGTAATAGCGCTCGCGCTAACTCCCGCGAACAATGTGTGCTTACGTTATCTGCAAACAGGCATTACGGTAATTTTGCTACCTGATAATACGACCGCCGCGCCTTTATCAGCATCTATAGGTACACAATGCATAATAACTCGTCGCATATCGCAGCCGTCTTTTGCCCGTCGCTGCGAACCACTTCGCGCATCGTAATTACCGAACATGTGACGCGTAATCGCCCGAGTTAATTAAAGCGACTCATGAGAATCAACAAGGCTTGCTTTCTGCAGAAGAGAAATGCACGGTAACAAATGCACTCGTTAAGAAACATTGCTTGCCCTATGCTAACAAAAGGGAGTATACACTTTCGGAGTTACCGCGCGAGCATGTGAGTTTTTGTAATAAAGCAGCGCGCGCGGGTGCGTTACAGCGGGTTCTCTCGAATCGGACAAATCTCGTTAGTCGACTTCGTAAAGTTCAAGATTTGAGAGAATGAGACGAAGAGAGAGAGAGAGAGAGAGAGAGAGAGAGAGAGAGAGATAAAGAGGAGACCACGGGCCGGTTCACCTTGGGATGCTGGGATGCTGGAATGCCCCATCTCCCATGCTCCTATCTGCATGCAAGAACCGGGGAGAAGAAGAGACAGAGATGAAAAGACGATAGAGAGAGAAAGGAGAGAGAGGGGGAAGCATAGAGAATAAGAAGAAAAGGAAAGCAAAGCTAGGGGAACGGCATTCCAGCTGGAGCCAGAATAAGCGGCATCAACCTCTTGAAAACCCCGAAGCTGCGTTTCATATATTGTGATAATAACAGAAAATACGCAAAATTGACCTTCTTTTAAAATAAATTATACTTTACCGTTATCAACGGACATTTCTAAATTTCACAATGTAAAACCTTGCGGTAAATTTGTATTTCTCTCTTCTTCTTTTATCGAAACACTGCACTTTAAACAATTTTAATGACAATCACGTAACGATATCTAACAGAAAAAAATATGTGCAGAGAGTATTTTTAATCGTTTACATCACAGAATCGCGGAGTGTTTATTTGGCATGCTAAAGCATGTTTGATGTCCACGTAATAAATGGAAACAAAACCATTAATTACGGGTAGATAAAAGTAGGGATGCATCCAGCGTGAAATCAAAGCAATTCTGTACAATCAAGGACAGCCGGTTACAGTCAAATGCGATGCACGCAAGATGTGGCCTCAGTTTCGTTTCACCTTTCGGACTGATATTAACGTACGATGCACCGTATCGCAGAAGATTGTTAGATAAAATTTGCAGAACAAATTCGTTGCTTATAATAAAATCAAACATTTCTTCAATTGATTACTTCGATTAAAGGATGTTTTTCCAAAAGGGAGAATGTTATATTGAAAAGATATCGGGCAACGGCACATAACAATAAAACTGAGAAAAGACCGAGAGACACGTACTGCACGTTGTGTATAGACACAAGAATATTTTCGAACAAAAATAGAATTACTATTGGCCGGCAGCCAAATTGAATATAGATTTTTAATTGTTGGTATTGCGATTATTTCAGAATTGCCAACTCGAGGATAAGCGCCACGGCGGCGCTGTTCTATGATTGTATAAATCATAAATAAATTGACAGATAAACTATCTGCACTCTAACGACCTATGTATCCGAACACATGCAAATTAATGAAATGTAGGTGCGTTATATGCACAATGACGAACCGTAAGTAAAGTCAGCCAATCAGAACGCGCGCCGCCCGAAATCAATATCAGCCGATCCGTGATTAATGGCAGCTACGCGGAATTATTATTCGGCCGAATTATCTGTTTGCTCGCAAATTAATTTTGTTTTATCGGCGTTTGCGCGTGCTGAAAAGTTTATGATTCGGCAATTCGGCACTTAATAATTATCGAAATGACTATATTTGTGCGATCAGGTAAGTTTTTGATCTTTACGTCTCGACACTCTCTCCGAGTTTTTGATGCAATGCATGGAGGATTATTATGCAGCTGGTCTATTGCAGCGAAAAGTCCACATGGGAGGACAAAAAAAAGGGATCGGGGCCACAGTTGAAAGACGAGTCGAGAAATCCCGTGGATTTCAGGCCTGTCTCCGTCCCTCTTTTGGTATTCGAGATCTACGGTTGTCCCGCGGGAAATCGTCCTGAGCGGTATGCCGCTTGAAACAGGTTTTCAAATATCAGTGTGCTACAGAAGAAAAGCGCCTTTTCCAATTTGACCATGACAAATCATACTCGAAGGTTGACTGATTTCTAAAAGCTTGATCGATTATCAAACAAGTAGAAAAGTCCAATAACGCGAATTAAATGAATCGCATAGTCTCATAATCACATCAAAAGTTTTAACGTTAAATGCGGTCATCCAATTTTTTGTTTATAATAAGATATCGAGTTGAATTTTGCTTTCGAGGTCTCTTACTGTAACCATTATGATTATGATGATAAAACAAAAAATCTTATCAATTTTTTGCATCATACTTCGAAATAAATCGGCGCCATGTTATTGCTTGTGTTCCAAGTATAAATTGATAAATCACGTCGAAAAATCTTTTATAAACTATTCTATTGCATATAAGCTGTAGTACGTAAAAAAATTAATTTGCTCTTCAACATATAATGCAAATAAAATTTATATTTCTGACGTAATTCAAAATCAATTTTAATATGGTTCTAGTGTGAAAGATCCGAAGAAGTGAGCACTGTTTTTTATATTACATTTAGGATCGCAATATAGCTTTCACGTAATGGCGCAGAATCCGAGTTCTCGCAGAAATTAACGGCGAATCGTGCAATAAAAATCGCATATTACGCGTAATGCCGCGACAACTGTCGATAAAATAAAGGAGTAAGTCCCAGCTGCCGAAAAGATCGGTCTCACCTTGCGTATGGTCCTGATCCAAAGTTATCTAAACGCCGCGCGCGAATAAGCGAGTAAATGCGAGAGCCGATTATATTAAATGGCAGGTAAAATGGTCTGCTTAACATAGCGTTTATCAATTCTTCTCGGTTTAATACTTTTTCACTACCTCGTCAGCCATCGCCCATAAACTCAACGACTATCTCGCGTCTCTCTTCTTCTTGCAACGTAAGAAAAAGACAAGACGAAAGAGCTCTCGATACATATTTCCACGTTAACTGCATTGCACTGCATGTGCAACTGAGCCCATAAAACTTTACTAAAAGATTTTAAAACATCCAAAAGATTAAAACAGAACTGTTAAAATAATTTCATCATCTTAAATGCTCATTATATTACGAGTGTAACGCCTTTTTTATTTATGATAAATTGGAATCGAGTTTTCTCTGCTTCTTTTTCCTTGCTTTCCTCCCATCGTCTCATTATTACGTTAAAAAATGAAATGTTCGAATCATCAGCCTCTCTAATGCAATTCGTGTCGTGTATTTAATCTTTTTTCTTCTTTCGATAATAGTATTAATTTAATGAAACTCTAATGAAAGCCAAAGCTAAATTATTAATGACGGTGAGAAATATAAGAGTAATAAAAAGCACATTATACAAACAGTGATTTTACTATATTAGCAAAATAAAATCGCATTTGCATTATTCCAAAAATAACCAGTAGCAATCTCGCTTTCTCTTTCGTGTCACAAAAAATTATCATCTTTTTTTTATCATGAATGCACCCGATATCCTTTTCGAATATTACTCAAATGGCGTGACGTTACATAAAACATGAAATGTCGTTGCTGACGTCATAGCTCGCGCTCCAACACTTTCATGGCATGCGTGTGTTGCGTAAATAAATCGTGCGTAATAAAATGTGTGTATGCGCGTACACACATTTTATGAAAGAGGGTAGTTTAGCATAAAAAGCATTGTATACTCCTGTCACTTCTATCGGACAACGAATACTTTTGACGTAGCCAGCAACCCCCTAAATGATCTTCTTCAGTACCTTTAGTCATTTCTCTTTCTATCTATTTATATCTCCATGTCCTTTCCTGATCATCTTTTAAAAATAATTGCACGTTTTGTGGTATCTTGATCCACGCGTAAAAGCAACCCAAACATCACGTAAAAATTATGTTTATGGGTTTCGAATAGATGCAAGGGTCGCATAAGTTGTCGAAGGGAGCATAAATGTGGCTTGTGTTATTCTAGATAGAGATCTCTCCCATTTTCTCGATTTCGGCCTACTATACTTATAAATCATAATGCCAGCTATTTACTCGTTATGCTTGTTTCGAGGTTTGAATTTAGGACTCGCAACTTGCGATGCTGCCAATTTATTGCGGTTTTTTTTAAAGACTAACACGTGTGCAATGTAAAAAAGTATTGAGATTATAGTAGTTTAATCGGATCCTAGCTAAAAACGCAATTTAAAAATCAATTCCAAACAGACTAGGCGCCGAGAATCCGCGCTTTAAATAAAACCGATGATTTATGGCTCACAATAACTCGTGTGCACGGAGAATGGAATAAAACTCCACTTGCGCGCAGATATAATCAATGACGCTGCAGAAATAATAATACATCCTCGCAACATTTGATTTCCGCGTCGCGTGAAATAGATACGTATATATGTAAATAGAGGGCATTGCCAAGCCTGATACAAGCAAAATTCGTTGAAATCTCGGTCCTATGCTGCGAGTGCGAATTTATCGCACCGAAATTGACTCATTTAAAAATTCCATTCATTCGTTAGCGCAGCGCGAAATAAGCGAGTCGTTCATGTGTAAAGTTTAATAGTCTGGGCGGCGCGAATCAACCGCGGTAAAAAGAGAGCAAACTCCTATGTTATTACCGAGAGGAAATCACTCACCTGTCTTTTCCTTGATTTCGCAGAGAACCGAGAACAAGGCAGGTTTCATCCTGTGGCAATTCAAAGTGTGTTTCCTGCAAGCAAAAGGCAAACAGATATGCGCGAATTAAACATTGATAATGAAAGTTACGTAAAAAGCGTGAGGTCTCGACGATTGATACAAAACAAAGAATTTAAAAAAAAAAAAATTTTTCAAAATCAAATTTGAATCGTATCGTGTATGTGAAGTAGAGTTTATTCTAACTTTATATTTAATAGTTCCTGATAGGCAAAGGGTTTTGGCCATTAAAACAAAAAAATGTCTCAATTTGTTTTGCAAAATTTCTATATATTTTGTCAGATTTCAAAAGCTTTAATTTTATATAAATACTATAAAGACAGAAAGAATTCTGTCATGTAAAAGCTAAATATCGCTTGAATTATTCTATTAAAAATAAAGAATTCTTTGATTTCTCAAGTTGATAAGTTTTTATATGCCAGTTTCACACACACGCACACGCACACGCACACGCACACGCACACGCACGCACACGCACACACACGCGCACACACACACACGCGCGACACACACACACACACACACAAATTGGTACGCTGTTGCAAGTATTTTCTAATAATGTTTGTTAATAGTCGTAAAATAGCTATGCATACAATTTTTCAGAAATAAGAAAAAATAAACATGCCACAAAAAATTCTGTTGTGTTGCTTTTTCATCTTAAGCATGTAAATTGCAAGTGGTGCTAAAAACGAAGAATTTTAATATTCATAATTCACTGTTCGCAGTTGCAACCGCAGCATATCGTAAGGAATACATAAGGAAAATCGGTCGAAAATGATGTCTAACCTCGCCAGCCGGCAAGAACATCACCCTCGATCCTCGGTTCGAGTCTATCTCCAAGTTCCTTCATTTCATACACACATGCGACCGACGAAACGGCGATTACGAGAACATAACCTTGACTTCGGGGGTCGCATGATCGTTCTTGCAATCTTTCACTCCCGAACGCAAACTTCCATATGCCGAAATACGGTAAACTTCGCTATGATTTCTACGAGTATATCGGGACTTTCACGGAAATTCTTATCGCGATCGCTTTCGCAATATGGTCACTGCGGGATACCGTACACGTCCGCTACCATAAACTCATCAAAATACGAATATAGAATAGCGCGACTTAAACACCATGACATGATGGTTGGCTCTACAAAAAAAGAAAGAAAAAAAATAGCCAACCGAGAAGAACCGAAGGTCGATTGCGTCTGGGAAATTTTTGCGTATATTTTGACGAATTTGATCATCGCAATCTAGGATACTTTTTATCCAATAAACTTTTGCACAATCATGTCCACGACTTGCTTGTTTTCAAATATTTTGTAATCTTGAACATACATACTCATAAACATCATGCATTCTAATTAACATAACGCCAAAGTGCGGAAAATAATACACAACAATCGACAAACGCGTGAGTAAATCTGGTTATTACAACGATCGGGCCTGTAAACGATCAAATGATGATCGATGGAAGCAATTGACCGCACTTAAGAATTTCCCAGAGCTCGCCTGAAATGCGAATTTTTATGAAACTTATATGGCATTTAATTGTTCACAATTTGACCATATTTATTCGTACATTATTTTTTGTTCATTTTGCAGAAAAAAATGACACGTAAACAAAAAAATTGGATAAAACTTTTATATAACTTTTCTTTGTAAAGTAAACAAAAATGATGTATGGGCAAATATGATCAAATTGTGAACAATCAAATGTCGCAAATAATTTTACAAAAATTCGCATATTATCGTGCCAGCCTCACAGACTTAAATTTTCCATATATTTCGATTTTCGACTAATCTTAAATATGTACGAACAAAAAACAAATTCTAATGTGATAGAATTTTGCAGAAAAATAATAAAAAGAATCAATCAATCAATCAATCAATCAAAAAAGATTATCCTGCAAATTGTTTACTAAGTTTCAGCGAATAGAAAACTGCGCTCGGAAGTGAGAAAACGCGAAAACAAAGCTGTGACGAATTTACACTGAAAATACAATTTGATATGTTTTCGCTGTCGTCATATTAATCGCAAATGTGTGTAAAATGTGAAGAAACATGGACATTAACTCCGACAAAAAGTTGTATTATATATTACGCTACAGTCCGGTTGCAGCTACAAGCAGTGAATTCTAAATATTAAAACTCGTGTTCTTTTCAACTGCACTTTTTAATATTTTTTATGCTTAAGATAGAAAACTTATATGACAGAGTTTTTTAGCGCCATCGGTATGTTTATTTCTTGTTCATTTTAAAATTTTTGTGCGTAATGATTTTGCGTATATTAACAACTATTATTATATTATAAACTTATAGTATATCAACCAAAGTGTACAAAGTTGACATATTATAAATTTATAAACAATTGACTTACTTTTTGAATTACTTTTAAACTTATTTATATATATTCAGTATTTAAAAGACAATATTCTTTCTAGAACTCGTGCAGAGAATTCTGAAGTCTAAAGTTAAACAAAATATAATAAGGAAATTCTCGCAAAACAAATTCAGATCCAGCGGGACACAATTTTCTTTTTGCTTTGACTAAAATTATTTGTTTGTTATCTAGTCAAAATTCTTAATAATATGAAATAATACTAGCTTCACTCATATAATCATATCTGATTGTACTTATTGCCATTAATTAAGATTAATACTCAATAAGAACATTAATTTAATTCAGAATCGTTTCAGCGTCATATTTAAATGGTTAACATATTTAACGTATATCACGAAGTTACAAGGGTTCTCTCCCATTCTGCATAAAATATATATTCATGGAAAACATGTTAGGTACTTAATATAAGTCAAGGCATGCACGGTAATCATATAAATATGTACAAACGATATAGTGAAGTACAAGAATATTCGCGTTCTGTGAGCATCATGTTCGTATTTTGTGACGAGAGTATGCCTTCAATATTTATTTATTTGCTAACACCGATCTCTTCACAAATCGATAGATCGTATCTGAATAAATATCTCACAAGATGCATGTTCAGCTGTCAAATTATCATTGAAAAAGATAAGAAAAATGTTTACTCAGATAGATACTGTGAGATAAATTAGATTGATTTATACGCCTAATTTGAGTACACACGAGTGGTGTAATTATAAATTATTATCATTCATCGTTTATATATAATTAATCGCAAGAATTGTGCCCCACATTTATTAATTTGACTATATAAGATAAGAAAGAAAACAGATATTGGAAGTGATTTCTTGTATGATGTTGCAAATAGTAATGAGAAAAGATACGCGCAGATATTTTGTAATCGCGTTTCCATGTAACTGTAATTATCTCAATCGATCGTAATCTCAAATTTAAAATAAAGCTGCAAACCATATTTTACATACAAATATCATCTTGGTTTCATGGCAATTTTATTTACACGATACTTTCCAGTAATGAATTGACCTCTTAAATCGAAAGTACCTATGAAACCTTTAATTTGACTATTAACGAGCTGTGAACATAATTTCCACTCTAACATATCATTTACTGATGTTTCTCGAATGTCCCAATGCAGAAATAATCACGTAGCAATTAAATATCATACTATTAATACAATTATAAAATAAATAGCGCAAGTAATATTAACAAACGTATAAAGAATATAAAAGGAAAAAGAATAAAAACAGAAGCTATTTAAAGGGATATACTTTGAGAAAACAACATAAAAGTAAGTAACGAGACAAGATTAAAAGATAGCATCCCGTGAACAAATGCATTAAAAAATGGCGAAACGCACGAAAATGATCGGGACCTACCTCGCTTGCGCTTCATCCAAACTCTGATCCGTGATGTTCATGATTTGCTGCAGGATTTCACCGATGTCCTGTTTTCTAGCTTCCACCGCTTGATCGGGGCCCTGGGCTGCGGTACCGTCGACCGGACCCATGCTGCCGTAGCCGGCAGTGTTCTGGGCCGCTTGGCCCTGGTTTCCACCCATCAAACCCACACCTGATCCTCCGTGTTGCAGCATTCTGCCAGTCTCATCCATCAACCGGACTTGCCGTTCCGCTATGAGTGGTGATCAGCCGGCCACCGTGCTTGCGTATTGTATCTTCGTGTATATATGTGTGAGAGTATATATAGCGTATCGTTGTGTGTTTACTTCTATTCGCTCGGAAGCGACGCCCAAAAATAATCGACAGAATGCACTATGCACGCACCTACGCGTTACTCGTATACCAGGTGTCGCGGAAGAACACGCAACAAATTTGAACAAATCCCCCGCGCTCTTCACGATCAGCTTTTATCTCCGTATGTCGTCGAATAATGCCGTTGGCCGGGGTACTATGATGCACGTGCTCTCTTTCTCTCTCTTTCCTCTAGCCTGCGTTTCAGCAATCGTCACTATCGTATAGAAGGCGCGTGTTGCACACTTGCAAAAATATATTCTCTATCTCCCACCGTTTTTCCTTCTCTTTTCCTCGACTGTTTCCGTCGTATCGAATATCTCGTGACTTTACGTACTGCTGCTTCGCGCAGCGAATTCCGAAACGCGCGGCGCGAATATTTTGGAGGTTATGCTGCCGTTGTGGTCTTTGTTCTGCGTATCGTTCGACAACTGTAACTCCGTTCGTTTCTTTTTCTCTCTGTCTCTCTTGTATGTCTTACTCACTCTTGCGCCGTACGCTTACCTTCTACTCCGATCTTCTATCTTTGTCCGTTCTTTCCACTACTCTGTTTCGTGATGCACTCGCGCTTTTCGAATATCGGTTTCTAAAATCTGGTATACACAATATAGGGCAAGTTGAAAATGGTGCCTTCGGCGGCTTTAAACTTTGACGGATTGTCGGATTTTACGTATACACGATTGTGTCGAGACGGTCGGCGTCGCGCCCGGCCCGCACTCCTCCCCTCGTTACGACGTTTCCACTATATGTGTGAGTGTGTCTATATATATATATATAATATATATATTTCTCTCTTCTCTTCCTCACCCTTTTTCGTTGGTATGCTTCTATTCGTTATGGCTGAGGAACATTGGCGTCGTTCAAGCCATCCGTGCCACAGATATAGCACATAGAGCTTTTTGCCTTACAACGCAACGACGACGACGCGCGCGGACCGACCGTTTCCGTCACTCTTCTCACTACTCTCGGTCGCTCGAGCGACTGCTACCAACTGCTACGTTGTCGCGTCTCGTGAGTGTAGGTGTATGTGTGCGTTCGTGTGCCTCCAAATAATGTTGCATGCGTGCGCCGATCGGCGGCCATAGCAGCCACCGCGACCAATCAAAATGTTCCATGCATTTACCTTTCGCACCGGTCGCCGCGTCTTTCCTTTTCCCTCGCACGTTAATCCGTCGTCCGCATGCGCATTCGCCTTATTTACGACGGGGTGACCTCGGCAACCCGACACTGCGGTCTCATAACCTTCTCTGCATTTGCGGCTAGCGTTTCGTCGAGGACAACGACCATTACCTCTCGAAGATGTCCAAGAAACGCGTTGTTCTTGATGTAGATAAAGCTCGGCCTTGAGACAATCGTGCACAATGCTTCGTAGCGAATTTTGCACGGGCATAAACTTCATCTATTGCTCTCTGTTGTGATTGTCTTTCTTTACTATATAATGGGCTTGTTCGTTTTAGCTGCACTGGGGGCAGCTCTGGGTCTGCTCTAAACAAGATAATACAGGACAACTAATTTATTCTGTCCTGTATTATCCTGTGTAGAGCAGACCCAGAGCAGCCCCAGTGTAGCTAAAACGAACAAGCCCAATGTTTCTGTGATAAAGAGATGGCTCCTGATCGACAAACAACAGTAGTCAACGTAAATCGAACTTTTAGCGTACGTGCATACTTTCAAGGCCGGCTCTTGAACTCACGGAAGCAACAATAATAGCTGCATTGGATTACCTGTACTAGAATCCTATAAAATATGAAAATTCCAATAAATTTATAAAAATGCCATTGCATTCTGTATTATTTGAGTCACATTTATTGGGCTTGTTCGTTTTAGCTGCACTGGGGCAGCTCTGGGTCTGCTCTAAACAAGATAATACAGGACAAACTATTTATCTGTCCTGTATTATCCTGTGTAGAGCAGAACCAGAGCAGCCCCAGTGTAGCTAAAACAAACAAGCCCATTGTGAAAGTAGTTATTCTATTTCACTTTAACAAACTTGAACATTACAATATTTAAATTTATCGAGCTTGATTGTAGTATTTATGTATATATGTACAAGTTAACCCTTAATCCCGACTCATGGGTCGTTTTCGACCCAAGCGAAATTTCAAAGTGCTGTAAGGTACCTCCATTTCTTAATAACAAACTATATAAAAAAATAATTTTTATCGAAATATTATAATTGGGACTTCAAATTGAAGGTTGAAAGAAGCTCCATAAATTTTTTCAGATTTTTTAAAGCGTTTTTACTGATCCAAATAACGCAAAGCGACCCATGAGTTGGGATTAAAGGTGCCGAAAAGAACCGTCGGGATTAAGGGTTAAGAATGTTAAAACTTATTTCTTAAAACAAATAAGCAAGGAATGTTGATGTTCTACAAATTATTTTTAATATCGATTCTCACTTTTGTTTATTATGTATTATATTTTTGTATATATATACCTGTGATAGTGGTTGCGTTCCATAAAGCGCATATGTGCGCATGTATCCATAGTATACGTAAACGTTTACTATAGATATATGCGCGCATATGTGCTTTACGGAACGCAGCCAGTGGGCTTGTTCGTTTTAGCTACACTGGGGCTGCTCTGGGTCTGCTCTACACAGGATAATACAGGACAGATAAATAGTTTGTCCTGTATTATCTTGTTTAGAGCAGACCCAGAGCTGCCCCAGTGCAGCTAAAACGAACAAGCCCAGTATCTTCTATCTTTCACTCGACATGAGCTATAAATTGTCAGTAGTGGCAGCAACTGGCAGTGAATATTGAAACGCAATTCTAATTGGTTTACCTTTTCTTATGCCAGATTCACATTTCATTCAACGTATGATATCTGATATTTAATAAAAAAATTTGTTTTCTAGGATTTAGTTAAATAAAATTTACAGAAAACACATTTTTCTATTAAATATTGAATGTCGCATGTCGTGTGATAGATATAGTGTGAATTTTGTATAACATTTTCTTTGTCGTACAAGTTTTTCGGACATACTAATTAACCATTATAACAAATATTTTCCAGACTCCTGAAATCTTTTATCTAATACATTCGAAAAACTTTACATATCTTGTAGACAAAACAATTACAACACATTTTATGTAATGAGTTTTGGAATATAACGAATTGCAAGTTTCTAGCTCATTCGCCCAATTTTGGTGCGTTCCAAAACTAGTCAAAATATTGCAATGCTTTTGTCCTATGAATATTAAGCCAGTATCAGACTTATGCTGGATTCACACTGGGTCCGATTTCCGACGTACAACGTCCGATATCCAATATATATTAACCTAATCTTGGCTTGGCGCTTGCGTAATAAATAATATTCATATATTATAAATTCCGCGCTCGTTTAGTTACACGAATTACCCGTAGCCGTCATCTTGGTCGTCTAGTTTTTTCCCCTTGCCCTTCTGGCTTCAGCCCCGCTGGCTGACGCTCTGTCCATATATTCCTACGTCCATGGTCTTACCAGAAATAATCAAGAATAGCACGTTTTAATTAGTAGTTACTGGCAGCAATTACTAATTGAAGATCCGAGCAACGAGCCACTGAACGCACACACAGTCGAGAATCGTGTACATAGCTGCGCAGAGTGCTTTGCGCAACACATGTACGCGATTCTCGATCAGTGTTGCGATATGGGACCGGTTGTATGCGCATGTGCGGCAATACGGCGTCAGTACAGTGTCTCATACAAGTTAAACAAGGCACCATTACCCCGCTACATTAAATATATTTCTAAATTTTTTGAAATTGATTGCAATTTTCTACTTCTTGGTTTTAGCTGCTGGCTTCGTAGATTCCATGCTTGTAAATAAATAAATCTTACCTTATTTGTAGTCACCTAACCTTCTCATGTCAAAACGTCCCGCCATACGGTCAACACACAACATATAACGGCACTGGATCTCCATCACCACACATGCGCAGAGCCGCACATGCGCATACAACCGGTCCCATATCGCAACACTGTTCTCGATTGCGTGTGCATCCGTTTGCTCCTTGCTCGGGTCTTCAATCTGGCAGCAACTTGTTGGTAGTTGCCATCCTTCGCGATTAATGCGGCTTTTGAGCATTGTTGAATGGTTCTTAATTTTAAAGACGTATTAACCTTAAATGTGTACTAGTCTACACAGAATAGATAACGTATGTAACGTAAGCAACATTCTATGTTATTGTATAACGTGTTCACAATTATAAAAAATCAAGTGAAATTGTAGTAGTATTTGCTAATATTAACTAGAAAACTATAAAAAAAAATAAAAATTATCGATAGGTGAGTAAAATTTATTGTTGTACAAATAAAAAATGAGTTATATTATTAAAGTAAGATAACAAAAATGTGTTTATATTAATTTTATCAAAATGTTTAGATGAAACCACCATATACATTATAGTATAGCACATTAGAAGACTTGAAAGTCTAATTGTAACATTATTGGGAAATTAGACAAAGTTTAATTGACCATTACTTCTGGAATATAATGGATTACAAGAAGTATTACAAGTCAGATTGTGATGGAACTTATACTTTACATTTCCTCAATACGAACAAATTTAGTCCCGATGAAATAAAGGAAATATTTTCAAAATTTGGAGAAGTTTTAGCTGTTAATGTTACTTCTACTGAAACTGGATTTAGATTTGTGAAATATAAAACATTAGATGCAGCAAAAAATTGCTTAGATGGCTTGAAGGATAATAATGAAATTACTATATTACCAGAAAAGAAAGATCAATACAAAAGAATGGATAAAAATTCAAGTCAAAAGCAAACAGGCAACACTGACAAACAATCTAATGGAAACTTTATGTATAATAAAAAATTCTCAGAAACAAAATTTCAAAAGGAAAGATTAACTTATAACACAAGAACTTCTAATTATGGTAATAAAACTGATGATGCTGACAGTTTTTTAAATACTACTTTTTCAAATATTGGTTTTTTAAATACTGGTTCTGAAGCAACAAGTCATGGCTATAAATCTAATACATATGAAATTAAAGCAAGTGATAAACAAGATGTATTCAAGGAAAAGCATTCATTACCTCAAAAGAGAAGTTTTAATAGCAATTCTTCAAGCAATGGAATAAATTATGAAAGATATTATAAACTATTAAAGGATGGGACTTATATGATGCATTTTGTAAACAAAAAGAATTTCAGTGTAGACAAAATGAGAAATATATTTTCAGAATATGGACCAGTATTATCTGTATCTCCTGGTGGAGATAATAATAGACTTGTATTTGTAAGATATAGAAGTACAGATCATATAATAAGCTGTCTAAACGGTTTACAAAATAATAATCTGATAAACATACTACCACACAAAGACAAAATAATTCAAGCAGATCAGAAAGATTTAAATCAACGGCAGATGACAGTGGAAGATTCACATCAAAAGATCCTTGATGGAAAACAAGTTAATTCGACATTCACTTCTGAAACGGGAGCTATAAGGAAGCAAGCCCATATTATAAATAATATAAAAACTTCTGATTGGGATAACAGATCTAATAACTCTGCAGATATTGATTCTCAAAGTTCTAGGCATAATCATAAATCAAATACAACCAAGTGTGAGAAACCTAGTTCACAGATAGTCAAAACTAAGTTACATTCTTCAACAAAAATAGAAGGGAATACTCATATAAATAAGAATATGTGTGATAATAAAACATCTATGTTAAATTATGACACAGAAATAATGCAGAAAGAATTTGTTTGCCCATTACAGTCTAAGGATGCCTCGTCTAAAATCAGAATTATTCCACTCCAAGAAATAATTGTTGCAAACATTCCTGGAGATTATGATGTACATTATATTCTACATTTATTTAGAAAATATGATCCAATTTCAGCAACATTTATAAATGTAACTTTTGAAACTAACATACGATATTGTCGCGTTTATTTTAAAACTATACAAGATGCAGTAGCTGTTGAAAAAGAATTTGATAATTATGTTTTGTCTGGAAAGAATCTTATTGTTTTAAGAGAATCAAAGTTGACAGAAGAAAGCTAAAGCTTTTCCTACCATTTAGTAACAAAATGCACTATATTTAGTAGATATTATATTGAACACATCACAATTTTTTATAAGAATTTGTTTTTTTTTATTAATTTGGGTATTGTATTTATATTTTGGATATTGTATTTTGATGTGTCACATTTTTAATCTATATACTTGAAAAATTTATATCAGAAATAAATGTGAATATAAAAACAATAAAATTTATTCTTTATTTACGATGTTGGTAATAATTATAGAAATTTTTGTACAATTTTTAAATGTATCTTACAATGTTTTTACTTGTTTGCTAAAGCAAATATTAAATTTTATTGTCTGTAATCATATATAATAAGAGTAATTTGAAGAGAAAACTTATTGTATATTATCTCTATAATTATTTATCAACAACAGTATTAATAATAGTTAAAAATTTGCTTACTATAAATTTGAAGTTTTAGCAAACAATAAATACATAAAGATATTTTTCACGCTGACGCTGAATTGCGCTCAATTCAACTTCAACATTAAAAGATATGTGACCAAAAACTACTGCAACAGTTTATTTTTATACCTTACGTGTACACATACACCTTAAATGTACCAATATATTCAAAGTCAAAGAAATAAAAAATTAAATTAAAGAGATATACACAAATATTTTGCTTTTTTATTAATGATATAAAATAAAAATGTTATTTAAAATATTTTATATTTTTTCAATTCTTAATAAAATATAAAAAAGTATAGAAATATAGAGATATGTAAAAAACAATAGAGAAAGAAAGATAACACACATTAATCTTCAATTTTGCATTTAAATAGTAAACAAATGTAATTTATCAGGAAGTAAAATGTATAACAATAATATATACTATTACTTTTATCATTTTTTAATAAGAATAATAGATTAGTATGGACAGCATCTGTATTGTTCTGATTTTATCATAAGTTTTATTTATCAGCTTGCAAATATAATGACGATCGATTAGTGGGGAAGCTAGGTAACATAACCTTAGAGTAGAGTAGAGTAGAGGTATTTACATTTTGAATACACGTGAGTTCTGAACAAGATGCAATTAACGATGTTAAAAAAGTTCGATAAGAAGGCAGTACACCAAATGCTTATAACAGAGGATAAATTCATTTCGGATATATTCTCCGTAATGCCTTTACCTATGCGCGAATTAGGTAAGAAATATTTTTAAAATTATATGGTATAACCTCAAAATAATATAATCTCAAGAATTTGAATTATTTTATTTTTATAATAAGTATATATAAATTGATATTTGTTATGTTTTAATTTAGAGCAGCGAAATTGTTCATCTATGACAAAGGAACAGACAACAAAAAAAGGTTAATGTTTTTCGATTTATTTGATAAAAATATGATAATTGTATAAAATATAAATTTTTCCACTGATTTTAATGAAATAATATCTGTATGTGGCTGTGTATATATGTATATATATTAGTAAATATAATATAGAAATAATAATTCAAGTTACTGTAATAATAGTACATTTCATCTAAATCGGTGAAATAGTTTGTATTTATATGTTTACTGAAAGAGAAATATTTTTCTAGAAGCTGAATTGCTAATCTTGTTTTTTTATTACAGTCAAGGTTTTTACAGTGCCAGGTAGAAAAACAAAAAGAGCACAGACTTTTGAAAAGTTGCATGCAAAGTTAGAGGAATTAAAGAGTGTAAAAAAGTTGGATTATAAACAGAAACTTCTTAAAAAAAGTTTAAAAACCAGAATCAAGAAAAAATCAAAAAGAGAAGAACGTTTGCTACAGAAGAAGCTTGCTAGGACAGAACAAAATGCAGCTAGTAGTAGTAAAATAAAAACTGACAATGAGGAAATACCGAAAGTTCCAAAACCAAAACCAGTATTCAATTCAGAAGGTAAAATGGTATTTAGTAAGTTTGACTTCTCTGAAATTGGTATAAAAAAGAAGTTACCTAAAAATGAAAATGATCCTAGAAAAATTTTACAACAACTACAACAAAAAAAAGAAAAATTGAAGCAATTAGAAGAATTTGGTGAGAAAGAAAAAGCTGAGGATATTAAAGAAAAAGATGCATGGAAATCTGCATTGGCAAAAGCAAGTGGTGAAAAAGTATGTGCTTTAAGCATATTTATGTGACAAACTATTTTTTTAATATAGGGATACGAAACAAAAAGAGCACACTTTTGAAAAGTTGCATGCAAAGTTAGAGGAATTAAAAAGTGTAAAAAAGTTGGATGTGTCAACAAAATATAACTTAATTTTCTTAATATTTTTATTATTATAAATGTATTGTTAGATTTTGTATTAACTAATTTGTTTGAATAAATTATAATTTACTATGGATTGTAAATTTGACATTGTTACAAGTGTTTTTACACATTAATTTGTTCCACATTTTTAATGCATTTATATTTGACAGGTTAAAGATGATCCAGAATTGCTAAAGCGCACTATAAAACGGAATGAACAGAAAAAGAAGCATAGTGCAAAGAAATGGAATTCCAGGATTGAGAATGTACAAAAATCTATTCAAGAAAGACAAGAAAAACGACAAGAAAATATTATGAAGAGAAAAAAAGAAAAGAAAGTAAATAAATTGAAGAAAGCAGCGAAGAAAGGACGCGGATTTATATCCGGATTTTAATTATTAATTATTTACATAACTATTCTCTGTAATAATTTCATGTTGGGAGAATGAATGTGTTTCTACTTACAGATATGTTGTAACTTTTATTTGTATACACATGGGTAAAAGTGCCAAAAAATTTTGTTCAGATAACATGCGTGAAAAACTGATGTTATTTTCATATAACATGGATGCATAAAATCCATTTTTAGTTTAAATTTATGAAGTATAGTTTTTGCAAATCTCATACGTTTACTACGCATATTTACTTAAAATGCACTTTATTCATAGATTTGGGATAGACAAATAAAATTAAGTACCTAACTTGTATTGATATAATTGTTAACATATAAGGAGAATGAGTTGGATATTCAGAAAGGTTTATATTAAACGAGATTATCTGTGTACTATCCACTTATGTGTAATATACAGTGACAAATAATATACTTTATTCATGTAAGTCTGCTTCCATTTGTACATTAACAAATCTGTATTTACACTGACGCGTTCATATTGTAGACCAGCTACTTTTCACAGCTATTGTGTACGTTTTAGATTACAACCATTATGTAAAAAGCCGTACTCGCAAATGTCGCAAGCAAATAATAAGTAGTATAAAATTTCATGTGTTGCAATACCTTGTTCTGAATACAAGGATTATACGATGCTTTAAACATCGTTTTATTGTAAAGTTTCTTTTATTTGTCACATCTCTCGACATATAAGTGTGTTATATGTTTTCTATTTCACGCGATATGGTAATATTTAAGTAAATTGTTCAGTTTTTTTCTCCAATAAGCTTTACGAAAGCATTCATTTTCAGAAAGACCGATCGGTCAGTAAATGATTGGCAGATCTAGGACGAGAGCTTCGATATAGCCGCCGTCTTCCACCTCCTGCTAGGTATCTCCCAATGCTGCGGAGACTGCATTAGCGTGCGTCAAAGCAGTCCATAATGGACTGTGATCTACAGGCAACGGCACCGCCAAAGATTTTGATGGTCGCGGGGACCTGTAAAAACAAAAAAATAACTTTCAATTTATAAGTTATATTAACATATTATGGAAATGCTAAACTTCTCACATATGTTTTAATATATTTTAATAGAAGTTAAATAGTAACTTATTATATGAGAGAGAAGAGGACACTGAATTTAATTTTTTTTGTTAGAAAAGCGAGAAAAAAAAGATGCACTTTTGCATAGTGCTTTTATTTTTTTCAGTTTTTTATTCATGGTTTTTTTTGCAGAATCTTTCAAAAATTAACAAATAGCTTTGTTATGAATTATCTCTCAATTAAAATAAAATATAAAAATGTTCTAGGTGAGATATTTAATTTATTAGATTTATACAATTATGAATCGCGTGGTAATAAGAAATCACTCTGTATATTTTTGAAATAATTTGCGACAGTGTAAGAGGCAGGAATTGTAACTGAATTTTATTTAATGTTAGTTACAATTGCCACGCCAGTCAGCGCGCTTCTCGCGCACGAATCTATACACTTGGATAAATTCAAGTTATTCGTGGAGTAGAGGATACACTTTTGTGTGACGCTCAGGATCTTCGGCGGTCTTTTATCCATTCGTACGTATTTTTTCCACAAAATATCAAATTTGATTGCGTTATGATTGCCATTAATTAGTGAACAGCTTGATTTTTGGTTAGAATAACAAATTATGAATCATTTAATCCGTGAATCGGAGATTGTAAAGTTGTTAACCACATCAGGTATCATTTGATCGAGGCAATTGATTTCAGTATAAAAATTTCATAAGTTATTTATTTTATTAAGATATATATACTTTTGTTAATAATATCGATTCAAAATTAATTAGAAACTTATCGCACGGAGCATGAATGAGAAATAAGAAGTCATCTCGTATATTTTCGATACAATTTGTGACGACGGAAGATAGAGAAAAGTTTAACACTATTATGTGATGTTGGTAGCGATTTGTCGCCCAATCAGCACGCTTTTTGCGTATGAACTTGCACGTACTTGCACAAATTTATTTTGTTGGCAGAAGTGGAAAGAAAAATACACTTTTGTGTAACGTTTGTAGTTTTTCGCGGTCTTTCATCGAATTTTACGCGTTCTTTTCGGAAAATATCAAGTCTGCTCGCGTTGTTGTTCTTACTAATTAGTTCAATTAGCAGTTCCACTTTCATTAGTATAACAAACTTATGAAGTCGTTAATCCACCCAGCTCCGTAACTCGATTTACTTTTCGATCGTAATGATTTTTGTCGACACGAAGGTACATGAATTGTATATTTTCATAGAATAAGAATTTATGGAGGGGGGGGGGGGGAGGAGGGTAATTCTAACTTTTTGCTGTTATTACCTCGACGGTGCTAAAACTGGATGCTAATCTGGACTACTCAATTCCAGGGCGGTACTCTGTTCGGGATCCGACCGTTCCTCGACGACGGTGTCCAGCTCCAAAGATGGGAAAGCTCGAGACCCTCGATCGCTTCTCAAGGATACAGTACGTGCCGGACGATCTATGCCAGCTGTACGACACAAATGTGAGTTGCATTTTAAGAATAATAATAATTTTATTAAATTTTATTTAAATATCGTCGTATTGTTTTCGAAAATTTCACAATGTAATATATGTGAATATAACATTATATGCATAATGCGTATTCTAATCAAGAACATGATTCCGGGATTAAGCGAAGATTAATAACGGTGCAAATATGTTTTTTGAATGCAATGTTGAATGCAAACTAAAACATTCTCTTCTTTTTGCTCGCCTTGTTTGCTACGTTTGCAACTATGTAATAAAATTCCGAGAAAATCAATTAGCAGAAGTTTAATCTTGCCAATATGTTTATCGACAAACTTTTAACGTTGCAATTTTCTATTTAAATCAACCTGAAGAATCTAAGATTCCTGTACTAAGCTAATTTATGCAAACAAATCATGCAAATTTAATATAGGTTTTTAAATCTTTCTTTCTGTGAAAACAAATAATTAAAAGAACGTAGTGTTAAACAAATTTTTACAAAATAGAAACGAAAATAACGAAATTTCCTATGTAATATGTCTAGTCATTCATTTAAATATTTTTAGTATCAATTAGTAACGGTTCTAAATAGACATGCGTGAACTTGCATCTTATTAGCATTCTTGCACAAATTTAATTATGATCTAATTTGATTTTCATTAAATTCTACGGCATGATGCGACAAGTTACGAATGTTTACGCTGGTAAATTAGATAAAAAACATATGAAATGACAAAAATAACAAAAATTGCTAATTTTTCATTAGATATTATATATCCGGATAAATATATAGTGACCAAATTATGGCTATAAGTATGTCATATTTTACCTAAATCCTCTCTCGATGCTGTGCTTGCCAACAACAAATTAACCTTTCAGTGCGGATTAACTTTGTCCGATAAAATTTCATTCTAAAAATACACGTATTGTTTAATGGGTTTTATACGAAATAAAAGTTATTTGCAACGAATAAATTTAGATAGCAAATTCATGTATATACTAGGCGAAATTTCATTTTCTTCAGAGATAATTAGGGAGCTCTTTATTAAAATAATTAGATAATAACTGCAACGAATTTAATAGAGTTGAACGTTTGTACATTCTGCTTATGTAATATTTTATAATGCTCCTATCTTTTTACCGGTCTACGGACAATTTTTGACTTTTAGGAGACAGATAAATTTCGTATTTTGATTACTGTATTTCAATTAAACAGTAATCGAAAATGACTACCTATAGACTAGATTGTCGTAAATTAGGCACTCTTGTAACAATCAAAGCAAATATAATGTTTTATGTGGTCTACGTGAGGATATAAGAAAATCGGCTTTAATAATAGAAACATTTTTTAGAATTGGCTATAGAAAATTTAATATTCTCTAGCCTTTTGGCATTGAAATGTCTATTATTATATGTATTATATATATTTTAAATTACATAAAATTATTCATAAAATATATGTGATATTAAACCGACTTTTTTTGTCGGCTACACGGAGAAAATTTTATATCAAAAATTACTATGTACAGCAGTAACCGCGGACCATAAAGCCGCGGACCGAAAATTTTTACTATTTTTCACGTATGAAAAATATAGTAAAAATTTTTATAATTTCTTCATGGTCCGCGGCTACTGCCGTACATAGTAATTTTTGATATAAAATTTTCTCTGGTTATAGATCACACTGTCTTATCGTTAGTAGTATGTGCAAAAAATAAATCCGTCTTTTATCAGCCGAGTGCATTGCGTCATCTTTTCAATTTTTTTCTATTATAGCTAAAATGCTACAATAAACTGCATTTTACATTTATTTTAAATTTCGTGTTGTGCAATAAATTATTTATTTTTTATTAGACATCGTACATATTAAAATAATTTCTTTAAATGATAACAGTATCATATAACAATGTATTATTATTATTTTTATGTTTTTATTCGTAGAATTCTAGATATAGTTAAATTGAATTCATAAAATATACAAATTTGTCAGTTTTATAAATTTTGAAATTATTATTATATTACGGATTCATCCTTCCATCGTATTATACGTCGATGCAATATTTTATTATTTGCTTTTATTTATACGTTTTGGAGATATCTAATAACGTATCGTTATTGCAAAATACATTATCAATATCCATCGTCGTTTTATTAATTATCTTGCTGAGTATCGCGCTGAATAAATATTGTCAGTTAATTAAAGTCCAGGTAAAAAAATTTAATATTTTCTAGCTTTTTGGTTTTAAAATGTCTATTATTATATATATTATATATAATAATTTAAATTACATAAAATTATTCATAAAATATATATGTATATAATTTCATATAAAATATATATAAATATATGTGTGATATTATGCATTGCTTCATGGAGGCAATTTAGAATGACGATAATGCAAATTTGCTCATCGGGTTACACGATCGTTTATCAATGCTTTCACAAGTAATATGTAAATAGATGATATTATTGCTTGTATTAGCAATACGAATTTTTTTGAAATAATGCTCATTGCCATATTTCAACTGCATCTTGTCGCTCTCTCCAAATAAAAAGTGTTTGATACTGGATAACAAAAACTTTTGCGACGTAAAGCGAATTTTAAATTCAGTAGAGATGGAGAGATAATAACGCGGTAATCCTCGATGCTTATTTCCTACCACGCGGAAATGCACATACACACATAAAATCGCGCTCACCAGATAAAATGTTGCGATATGATTATAAGAGAAATAGCGCTCCAGGACATTATATTTTGTACATCGCGTTACTCTCCGTAAAATTATCAAAGTCGATAAGGTATAATTTTTGATATTACTATTGTGACAAATCCGGTTTGTTGTGATATCGTAAATTATGACTTTCCGGATAAGAAGTATTTATTTCCGCGTACAAAATCTGTGTAGTAGTGTTCACGGTCTTTGTGATTTCCTGATTTATTTGTAGAAAAGTGTTGATAGCAGTTAAAACTTTATACATTTACATCACATTTAAAAAGAATATTTTACATTTTCCATATACGCGATCTTTTTCGCGTAAAGTGTGGATTATTTTAGTAAAAAGAATGAATCTAACAAAGAGAATTTGTCGAGTATGTACCTGCAAATAGAAGTAATCGACCATTCAACGCGTGTCCGTTAGTTTCAAGCTAAAAATATCTGTCGCTAGTGCATGAACATTGATGTGAGTTCAAATATTCAAGCCAGGATTCAATCTGCTTTAGAGCCTCTTCCGTTCTCTTTATGTTTATTCCAATGGCCGCCTACACACACGATCGGATATATCTACACTCACCCGAAAAAAAAGCGGTACACTGAAAATGTGGGAAAAATTCATCAAATTTCAACTGACGATAACTTCGTAAATAATAAAGATAGAAAGTTCTATAAAATATGGAAATGAAGCTAAAAATCTCTACTTTAAGAATCAATTTATTTCAATGTTGCAAAATAAATTTATTGAAAATGGCGGATGACAAAGCGCGAGCATGCAAAATTGAAAAATAATGGTTCGAGTTTGCGACGGTGCACGGTATAAACAAAAAATTGTAGCTTATTGGGATCAAAAGCGTACGAAAGTACAGAGTCTCCTCTTTAAAATCGTATAACTTCGTATAATGTATGCTATACGAAGTTATTACGATAAGCTACAATTTTTTGTTTATACCGTGCACCGTCGCAAACTCGAACCATTATTTTTCAATCAATTGTTTTGCATCCGAAGGAGATGTCTGCAGATCTTTTGTGCGTAATAACTTCGTATAGCATACATTAT